TAGATATGCCCTCTACAAGACTTCACACCCAAGACTTAAATCACATAAGCCTTGAACAACAAGAAGAACAATCTTCTTCAACCTCACAACAATGACTCTCACAAGAGTAGAAATGAGAAAAGATTAAGCTCTATGGATGACAAGAACACTCTCTTGAAAACACTTAGTTTTCTCTCAAAATATATCAATTTGAGGAAGAAATGAATGGAGGATTATAACCTCAAGAATGGGGGATTTTAGGAGTGCTTGTGCATCGTAAAAATGACTAAGGAGTGAAGTTTATAAAGGGGTTGAAGGAATATATCCGTTGGTCCAAGAAAAGAAGCTGTGTAGAAAAGATGCAGCAAAATAATCGATTAATGCATCACCATAATCGATTAGTGCATCACCATAATCGATTAATGCAAGGGAAAAAATCGATTAATTTCGCCAGAGCAAAATTCCTTCAACGCAGAAAAGTAATAATCGATTAAAACCAAAGGTGTTAATCGATTAGTTCCTTCTAGACGCGATAATTGATTAATTCTAAAGGTAAAATCGATTATTGCAACAATAATGCCTAGACATGAAGGACACAAGCATGTGGGCGAGTTGGGAGGATAAAACGGAGCGTATACGTTTGTTTGAGACAACGGGAATCAGGGAAGCGCTCCTCCTCTCTCATTCAATGAATTTGAATAAGGGAGTAAAAGTTAGTCCAAAAAATTTTGTGTGTCAAACGATGTACACAAAAAATATTTGAATAAATATTTTTGCTTACCAAAAATATTTTATAATATCAAAATAAATATTTGATAAATGTTTGGCACACCTTTTGTAACTGACTCAATAAAACTATTTGAACCGTTAAAAAGATTTTTCAACTGACTCCAAAAATAAATATAATTTTTATTTTAACTCTCATAAAAATAATTTTGGAGAGAAGATATTTTTGTCATCCTTACAAAAATTCCTAAGACTCAAATAAATAAAAAATCTTCGGAAATCTTCTACTCCTCCGAGTCCTCCGTTAGGCGCTTCGAACGCGTCTTGGACTCCAATAAAATCCTGTGCACCTTCTTGAATACTTCAAGGAATGACACTTCAAGTCTTCATGTTTGTCGTTCTAGCACTTTGATCTTGACTTGAATAAATTGTGTTTGTCAATTATCAAAACCTGTGAGTCAACACTTAACAACACAGAAAGGTTGAACTCATGCATTCCAACAAATCCATGTTATTCGGATAGCGAGTTCTTGTAGGTCGATCAGTTTGTGTCCTCGCTCGTGCAGTTGGTCTCACAATCTCGTATCCTGGAGTAGGCCATTTGGCCTCATCGAGAAGCGGCATTAGGATTCCCAAATAAGCGTTGATGTAGGACTGGATTGAAAAAACATTAGGAATCAAATCCACGGTGACACTACACTGATGACATACTGCGTGGACATGAATGCACGACTCACCCATGCAAGAAGGTGTTTGAGTGTCACTCTGAATATGTTCTTCATCACTAACATCATCATCATCCTGGGTCATATGGGGAGATTGAATGCGGATGTGTACATCTTCTTCATCGACCTGCAAACTCCGACTACCCCGCCCTCCACGTTTAACCTCGACAGCAAGTGCATCACGCCTTCTATTTGCCCGTGTGTTGATATGTCCAGGGTTGTAGACTTGCTGCTCCTGTGGGTGATCAAGGATAGATGCATGTCCAAGAGCACGAACACACTCTCTTAACAACTCATGAACTCTCAATACCTCGTGAGAAGGTACAAACCCATCTGGATGCCTACCAGGATCAAGGCGCTGACTGCAATCCGCCATACAATATAACTACTGCATACAATATTATTGATTAGTTTTAAAAAAATAATTTAGAATTATCTACTTTATGAATACTTATTGCGGTTTGTATCTCTGGAGAAATGGGGATGTACCCTGGTCCGTGCTGATGGACAGGGTTCCCTATCTGTCATCGACCCCGAAGGTAGTACCACTGACGATACTCCGGTGTGGCATCCACCATCCCAAACTCCATCGGCCCTGTATCATAACGTCCCTCCCACACCTCCAAATATTGTCTCTCACCATCGCCAACTTGCATAACATTTGACTTAATATGGTGTAGATGTCGGTCATATATTAATATTTATATTATTAATATGTTATATAATATATAAATATATACTCATATAATATTAAATTTTTAGTCATACATTCATTATTCATATAATCATGTTATCATATATTACTATTTACTATTTTACTAATATATTATATTATTAATTTGTTATAAATTAATATTATAATTTTGATATTCAATATATAATTAATATTTTAAATATTTAATATAGTTTTTTTATCAAAATAAAAATATATTAAAATGTCGAGAGAGTCTGGTAAAAGGTCTATGGATATGGGCGTTGTGAACCGAAGTTCGAGGAAAGGCAAAGCTAAAGCCACCTTCGACAATTTGAGCTCACGTGGTTTTCAAGGAAGACACTTCGTCTCTTCCTTCTCTACTATCCCTGATCAATTCGTGGGCGACGCTATGACGGATCAAGAATTCGAAACGTATTTGGGAGGTAGAACCGACACCAACCTTCAAACTCTTGAAGATATATTCGAGGACATTGATGAAGCAGAAATGGGCGTGGAGCTTACACGGCAGAGCAACAATCCTACCAATGCCGACGAGGAGGCAGGTAAGCCCGAGACCTCTCAAGGTCTGAGGAAAGGTAAAAAAAATTAAAATCAGATTTATTTGTTTATCATTTTTCAAAAGAAACAAAAATTGACGAAGTTTTGGAACTTGCAATTATTGTGGCACCGTCATTAAAATGGGAATTTCTGGGGTTATGGTGGTCCAGAAAAATACCTAAGAGCGAGGCACCCCGTAGAGTACGCCAAATACGCGGCAAAAAAGAAGGGACGACAAGAAGTGCAAACCCAAATATCTCGGTTAGCTAACAGGGGTAAGGGCGGCCTTTTTTGCTTATAGCGACGAGCAAAATAAGCAAAAAATGGCCGAAATGATTTGTGAAGAAAATTTGTTATACATGTTTTCAAAAAAACTTGGATTTATTGATTATTTTCAAATTGCATTAAACCCTCAACCAAGAGGTTTTTCATGAAAAAAGTTAAACGAGAAATTATTCGATAATATAAAGTTGAAAAAATGAATTTAGAAATTCTTTTTCTCAATTTTAATTCTCGTGTTACTATTTGTTCTGATATTTGGAGTGAAACATGTCATAATTTGTCTTATATGGATGTTACTTGTCATTGGATCGATAGTGATTGGATTATGCATAAACGTGTTCTTGCATTTCGTGATTTCAATGAATCCCTAAGAATACAATTTAGTTAATAAAGTGTTTGCATTTGAATTTGATAATGCTACTAATAATACTGCTGCTATTCTTAGACTTAAAAAAATTTGCACCCTACTACGAGTATGGGTAGATTTCTGCATCAAGGGTGTTCTTGTCATGTTTTAAATTTATATGTTCAACAGGGATTAGAAGCTATGGGGGAGGGGGGTTTGACGAATATTATAAATGGAATTAAAAATATTTGGGGTAGTCGTATTCATACCAAATCCTGAAAGTCATTCTGTAAATATAGGGATAGAAGAGCAATAACATTTGCTAAATATATCACTATTAGATGAAATAGTACATACCAGTTGATAGCATAGATTCTAGGCTACAAAGAGGAACTTGCTACATTTCTTAGGAATGAACTTAGTTTTATGATTTTATTGAATGGATTTGTTATTGTTGATAAATTGAATGCCGTATTAGAAATTTTTAATAACGCAACTCTTACTTTCTCGCATGTTTACCAACCAACTACAAATAGGTTTTTTAAAGAGTGTGTTACAATCACAACATGTTTTCGTGAATGTTTAGCTGATCTAGATTTGTATCCCTATGTCTCTCATATGAAAGATAAATGGTGTGCTTATTATTTATACATTCCTGATATTTATAAAATAGGTATTATTTGTAATTCTCGTTTTAGGATTGAAAATTTTAAAATTCTAATTGACTATTACTACACTTGTTTTTTAGATGAAAAATAATTATTACTATAACCATTTAATAGAATGCACAAAAGAAAGAGATAATGCTATTGATCTTTTTGAGGCTTTATTTAAAGAATTTCAAGGAACATACAGTAATGTACTAGAAGAAACCGCACCTCCTCTGCCGCGAAATCAGAAAAAGGTTTTAAAGGATTAGTCGGTGGGCTCTTGGCAAAAAAGGTAAGCGTGGTCAGCTTTTGACGAGCTCAGGTGGTACAATTATAAGCTTGCACAATGAACTTGCTATGTACCAAGGGTTGCCATGCGATTACGACGACGATGTGGAGTTTGACGTCCTCGCATGGTGGAAGCGGAACGAACACATGTTCTCATGTCTCAGAATGCTACTCCTATTTTCTAATTACACTAAAATATATAACAGAACTCCTATTTAGATACTTTCACTATGATTTACTCAAAATTTAGGTAAATTTTTTAAAAATATCTTCAATGTAATTTGTACTATGTGAAATTACTACTTTATTAAAAATTAAAGAACTTTAAAGTATACTCCCTTGGATTTAGGGCTGGGTCGGAAAAACCAAAAACCGAAAACCGAACCGAAATCGATCAAAACGAGCTAGAAAAAAACCGAACCAAAAAAACCGAAACCGAATGTAAAAAAACCGAACCGAATCGAATAAACCGAACTTATTTATATGCTTCATTTTTTATGTATATGAGTATATGTGATATGTATAAAAATCATACTCTGTCCGTCCCCCAGTTTTTGTCCACTTTCATTCTTACACACCATCAATGCACTTCTTTAATCCATTTTATCTTGTAATTTGTATATTAAAAAATTATAGAAATTATATATTAATAATCTATATGTTAAGACAAATCAAACAAGATCACACATGACTATATTTAGATTTACACATTGAGAGAATTTAATGAGTCAAAGTGCTTAGATGAACAGTTCCAAAAGTCAAAAATGGACAAAAACTGGGGGACGGATGGAGTATAAACAAACATGCAAATATATTACTAGTTGATTAAAGTTTTTTAATTAACTATTAATTAAACATTTTAACCATGTTATAAACTTTAAAAAGTCTAAGATATAAATACCAATACCTAATCCTAATATAGAATTATATAACATTAAAAATTAATATGAGTAGTTAACATATTTACATAAAAAAAACTTTGATGTTATAATGTAAATAAAAGTATTATATAAAAAAAACATAAATTCTCTATAGTTGATTTTACATATGATATCTTTAGGACTATTTGGAATCTTCTAGATGTTTGTTAGGCACTTGACACATATTTTGTACTCCCTCCGTCCCCCAGTTTTTGTCCACTTTCATTTTTACATACCATCCAATGCACTTCTTTAATCCATCTTATCTTGTAATTTGTATATTAAAAAATTATAGAAATTATATATTAATAATCTATATGTTAAGACAAATCAAACAAGATCACACATGACTATATTTAGGCTTACACATTGAGAGAATTTGATGAGTCAAAGTGCTTAGATGAACAGTTCCAAAAGTCAAAAGTGGACAAAAACTAGGGGACGGAGGGAGTATGTAAAATTGAACCGAATAGAACACTAACCTTCCGTTTGGCATTTTTTGTGTAAAAATCAAGCAAAAAAACCAAACCTAAACTTACGTATTGTTATTGCTTCGTCGAGTTAGTATTTAGACAATTTTTAATGCTTATAAGTATTTACTTTTATAAACCGAAAAAAACCGAAAAAACCAAAATAAGAACCGCATAAAACCGAACCCAATAACCAACGGTTTACATATTTTTTATGCAAAACCGAACCGAACCGAACCGCCAACCTACCTTCAGTTTTGTCTTTGGTTTTGGGTAAAAACCGAACCGCCAAAACCGAACCCACCCCTACTTGGATTCAGGAGAAAGTCTACTCAAGTTTGATTTCTAACGGAGGCATAAGCGTTGGCTCCTTGTGCGTCAATAAATTAATATACTACATTGTAATACAATCAATAACACTAAAAAAGAATTTTGAAGTTTAGATTTAATTTATTGTGTGTTTATCGTAAAATGGTTTTGATATTAAAGTTAATTATGTTATTAAACTTTTATTTATTGCAGAGTGATTGATAACAAAAATTATACACTACTTGTTTTGTGTTAAAATGAAAAATATAATTGTTTCTTCAATTAAATTCTTGTGCTATAGATAGTCATTGATTGGGGAATATATTTTTTTCGAAAAATTATCATTCTAATTTCTTTTGTTGGTAACTTAAATAATTGGAAAATATTTTCTCAAAAAAATATTTTCTCTTAACAAGGAGAAAATATTTTTTGTTTGATTTCGATGAAAATTTTTTATTCACACTCTGTCCACATTCTTGCTCCACCCAGTCCACCACACCGCCGCCACGTGCACCCTCACCTTGCCATCTATGCCTCCACCCCCAGCCACACCCAATTCTAGCCCCACCCCCACTCCGGCCCTCCCCACACCATCCACCCCATCCACCACCCACCCCCACCGCCATCCACCCCATCCATCATCTACCCCCACCCGCCCCCAATCCATCCTAGCTCACCCCCACCCCTGCCACCCAATCAATGACCTATAGGAATATTTGTACTAAGAACACTGTGGAGCAGTGTTAATGAAGAACTCGATAGTATAACGAATCGCGTATAAACGCTTTCAGATCAAAGTTATTTCGGGGTATACGAAATACTTCAATCGGATAAGATGTTAATCAACAACAAGCACTCAAAATCCAATACTCAACCCATACCACGAGACTCTATTTTAATTTATAGAGTCGAAAATTAATGACCAGACATGAATGTTCGCGTAGACGCGTACGTTTGCGCGGAGAGGAAGAAACGCGCGAGAAGGAAGGGTTTGAGCGAAAGGTCTGCTGTGGTTTTAGAGTCAAATTTGACGTTATCCACTCATTCGAGTCCTTTATTGTTTTGGACTCCGACCACTCGTTCAAGGCTCTACCCCTTGGACCCTGCCAGTGGCTGCCGCCCCATGGACCCCGCTTCCCGGGGACTGCCGCCCTCGAACTCCTACTGTGAATTTATAATATCGTTCAACGAGCACGAACTGCGCGCCTCCTAACTTGTTTGACAACGTCTATTTAAATTCTTGTCTGATATAAGTAAATCCAATCACACAAAATAAGGATGACACTAAAATAACCAACATGACCCACCTCAGTGCATCCACTCTCGCCCCCATCAACCTCGGCCCATGCCACCCTCACCTTTGCCTACCCCCATCTGCTCCGACCTCTGCCCACCCCCACCCCCTCCAACCCTACCCCCGCACTCTCGCCGCCCTTCAAATATAGTCATTTTTCAAAGATAGAAAGTTAATCTTTGTTTTTTTATTTTCTTTCTTAATTAAGAAATACCTCGTAATCTTTTCAAAAAAAAAAAGAAATACTCCGTAATGAAAATATTTTCCTGGAAGAAAAGTTATATTTTACCAAACAACAGAATGTGTGGAGAGAATATAATTTCCTTTGGAAAATATTTTCAACAGGAAAATATATTTTTTCCAACTCAATACACCATTAAATTATAATTGTTTGCAATTGTCAGGTGTTTATTGTCAACGGAAACTTTTTTCAAGCTCTATTTAATAGTCTCTCTGTTCCAAAATGTTTGCCACATTTTCTTTTTCAACCATGACAAGAACTTTTGTTTATTTGTACGTTTTCATTGATTATTTGATAACATAAAATATTCTTGACACTTTTTATTTCGAAGAATTTTTCATGTAGTTTTTAAATATGTAAATTATATTTTTTATCCATATACTAATATTTAATTGAAATGATTTTCAAAAACTTGACATCTTGCCTCATTTTCCGAAATGTGGCAGACATTTAGGTATGGAGGGAGTATGTTTTTGTTTTTGTTTACTATTTACAAGGTCAAATTTCATTCATCACCTTCTTTCCTTATATTCGTTACTCATTTGATAACATAATATTCATGTCACTTCTTGTTTCATAGAGCTTTTGATGTAATTTTTTAATATGTAAAATTTATTTTTTAATCTCTAATTAATTACATTGAAATAACTTCAATCAAATATCATAAATCAAAATAGACAATTTAAATTGAGACAGAGTATCCATTTGTACAAATTTATTACTTCCTCCATCACAAATAAAGGTGATCACTGTTTGATCTTTTTACCAAATTTCTAGAGACTATTGAACAATGAGAGAACTCTTTAAGTATGGGAAAAAAGTATGTGTGAAAGAATATGAACATATCAAAATATAAGTTCAAATCTTTTTAATTCATAAATAAAATTCACACTCATTATCCATCAATGTTTGTTTATAAACAAGTACTCTTCCATCCCTAAAAACATGGGAAGGTTTTGATTTTTGAAAAATATAAGAGCAGTTTATTTTGGTGTTGAGACTGTTGACTTTTCAAAATGTTTTTCGATATGACAGGTAAAAGTAGAATTTGATGGGTAGATTAATAGTGAATAGATATGATGTGATAGTTAGGTTAAAAATTACGGAGTAGTAGAAGTAAAAGTGACCTTTTAATAAAAATGAGAAAATATTTTTGAAGCATATGAAAAAAAGAAATGAGAAAAGGCAATATTGATTTGTACTCGTATTAAACAACATCAATATTTCCCATTTTGAGACTTTGGGTCCAATATTGCCCAAATGAGTATCCATGGGATCCAATTTTAACCAAATTTCACCCAAAATAATTCATGTGTATTTTATCATTTTTAAGGCCAAAATAGAGTCTTTTTAACTATAAAAGTATTTATAGTATAAAAAACTAAGATTTGTGTAATTTTATTATAAACAAGTATTTTTTTTATATATAAAAAGTATTTAAAAACAATTCTAACACCAAAAAAAAATAAAAAAATAAAATACCAAAGTGGCCGAAATCAAATGACATGCTTCTGGAGCCGCAGATGCTGTGAGTGGCCATCCTCTTCCCTGTTCGGCACTGCAAACTATTCATCTTCTCGATTTAGATCCTCAAAACATATCGTTTGGCCGATGATAGAGACATCGTAATTCATTCACGCCAACCGCACACTGAATTTCCAACAAATTCAAAGGGAAAACTTATTAGGAGAGGAAATAAACATCAATCGACATTGTTTCGGTAGCACATCATGTGTGTGGCCGAAGTTGCGTTTGTTAGGCATCGCAAGTCCTCCGCCTCTGAAATAAGATCCGGAAAGCAAAGCGGGCATAAGATAATATTAATAGTGGGGCCTCTAGGAATTCGACGTGGTATTGCTCCCTATCCCAAACAAATTCACATATAGGGGTACACCTAAGGTGTATCTCATATGTCTTTTATTCCCTCCTTATGCAGGTAAGAAATTCAAAAAAATTAAATAAATAAAAATCAAATAAAAATAGGTGGTGGAGAAGAGAGTGGTATACATTTGAGATAAACTTTTGGTGTATCCATAGCATTACTCATTCACATTTCATATTCTCCCCCGTCCCCGTTTATTTTGCATAGTTCGATTTCAAAAAAAGTAGAAAATTGTAAGGCCACACATTGTTTCTAAAAATAGAAATAAAACTTGTTTTATAAAAATATGAATAAAAATAGGACTATTGCATTGTGAGAACATGACACTTTATATATGGAGTATATTGATAGTGCACAATGTTATATATTGGGTTTCAATTTTTTAAAAAGTTGTTCCATTAATCAAAGAGAAGTTACAACAAAATCCAAGGGTGAACCAACTCACTCCCTACACGTTCTATATAAAATACGTAGCTCGCACTAATGTATGCGTTGCCTCATTGGATGAGCGAAAATAAAAATGAAAACCAATGTATCCCCACGCAAGGTATGGACACTACAAAAAAAATACTCTTTAATGTGAATATAAATTGTAGTTAAAATAATACCGTCATTACTAAGTTTTAATGAGAGGGAATTTAATGTCATCAACCGTTACTATAGCCTTTGTTGGTGTAATCAACCATTTAGCATTTGATTAGTTGATTAGTTACACAGTTTGTTAGTTTGTTAGGAAGATATTTTTGGTTGTTACTTGTTTTTCATTTTCTATATATAGAACTTAACCATGTAATACACAATTTGAGCTAGTTAATACAATTTGATGTTTTCATTTCCAACATGGTATCAGAGCTGGTTGCTATGGCTCCAAGCAATCACTCCTTATCTTCAATTTTCTCTTCCACCATTTTACCCTTTCCAATTCTTCTCTCCATCTTCAGTTTCTACCCTAGAGATTTCCGTCTACAAAGAAGGTGAATCGTCAATTACAGCATGTCATTCCATTCTCCTCCTCCAATGGCGTCTTCTACCTCTGGATTTATCGCCGGTGTTCTGTTCATCCTCGTCCTCAACGGATCATGATCTCCGCGTGGAGAGCCGTCGCAGTCCACGAATTTTTCCAGTTGATAATTCATCAATGGATATCAATCCAAGTGGAGAAAACTTCAATTTGACGCCATCTCCGTCTATTGATCTCTCCAATTTCATAGATCCGCCGAGCGCCGCCGCCCCTATTGACTTTGATATGGCGGCCACCTTTCCTCCGGCGCTTCAGAAACACGCCAGTGATTCAATTGCCCCTTCATATTCGCCGCCAACAATGATGTATTTTCCTCCAGAGGTTCAACAGGCGTTCGGCGCATGGACGGACACATCAACAGCTCCATATTTCTCTCCGGTTACTGAATTCGAACCGCCGGTGCTGGAGTTTTCTGAAAACGACAATCCGACGCTATCTCCACAATCTCGCCGTCGATTTGAATCCGAGGCACCCGGAGGTCTCTTCCCCTACGCACTCCACCAGGCTCAGATCCGTGGATCACCGTTGATGCCAGAGCGCATCCCTAAGGAAACTTCCGTCTCAAAAGATCCTCACTTATGGACTTTTCATCTGTCCAATTCAGGTCATGTTCATTGTCTTGTGCTCCATGAAATGCAAAATCAGATTCATCATCATTATCGAATGCAAAACTGTAATTCTTGCATTTGATTTTGTCTTCAATTAAATCCGTTTTATCACTTCAATATCATTGCCAATCTGATTTTATCTTCATCAGATTTCATCACAGATTGAATAAAATTCAGAACATATTCTTCATTTGAGTTTGTCATCTCCATTCCATTTTCATCACAGTTGATCCATATTGATCCTCTGTTCATTGTGTTGGTTCTCAAATTGAGTATCCAACTTCATTTTCATTCTCATGATTGGAATGTTTAGTTTCAGTCATTCTTTCACTTCTGTAAATTCAGAAGTTTCATCATGATCAATTTCACTCAATCGGTTTGATTGAGTTTCACTCGTATCGTTTTGGTCGAGTTTCACTTTCATCATCATCCGATTTTTGGTTGATTTCATCAATTGCTTTTGTCAATTGATTTCATTTCATCCTTTGATGTTTCGTGTGAATTCATCAATTGATTTGTCATCTCAACTTCATCATCGGCTTTGTATGGTTCGCTTTTCTGTTCATTTTGGAGAACCATTGCAGCCATCACTAGTTCATCACTAGTTCATCACTATTTCATCACTAGTTCATCCAGATGCAGAGGTGCTGATATTCTGGTTTTCAACACTGCTCATTGGTGGTCTCATCACAAAACCAAAGCAGGGATGTATTATTACCAGGAAGGGGATCAAGTTCATGGGCACTCTGATGTTTCTTGTGCTGCCAAGCCTGAGACTGTGGACAAAGTTTTCTCCATTGTTAAGAAGCAGCTTGCACTGGCAGACAGTGTCTCTGTCTCCGGTGAATCCAAGTTCATTGATCTCGGAGCTGATTCTCTTGACACGGTTGAAATTGTGATGGGGCTTGAGGCATTTGGGGTAACTTTGAGGAAAATTCAGATTATGGTGGTCTCCAAGGTTTTAAGAAAGTGAGAAACATCGAGCAGAAGCAAAGATCCTAAACCAGAAGCTTGCTGTTTTGGTCAATGGGTTTTCATCCATATACACATTAAAGTCAACACAGATTTGATTCAGTTGCAAGTTGAAGTTGTTCCCACCTTCAACTTGAGGGGGGGTGTTGGTGTAATCAACCATTTAGCATTTGATTAGTTGATTAGTTACACAGTTTGTTAGTTTGTTAGGAAGATATTTTTGGTTGTTACTTGTTTTTCATTTTCTATATATAGAACTTAACCATGTAATACACAATTTGAGCTAGTTAATACAATTTGATGCTTTCATTTCCAACAGCCTTTGTAGTTCATTACATATAAGATGGGTTAGAAGTCATCTCATTAAAATCATTTGGTGTATCATTTGGTGAGAGTATGTTTACATTCATTAAAATACTCTTTTTATGACGAAACATCCCGTCATAAATACAATTAATACTAATATGAATTATATATATATCCTTTAATATAATAAAAGAGACTCGGATGCACAGAAATTTGACATTTGGCATGTCTATGTGGCAAAATTTAAACATGTCAGCATGCCACGTAATATCCAAGAAAACCAGTGGAAATACATTATATACGATGCACCATCGGATCTCCCGTTGAAAACAATTGACCGCAGATTTTCTACGCGATAATCACAGGCCTTCAATGAAATTCTTTCCTTCAGATTAAAACAATACGAACTCCTATTATGATGATAATATAAAATAATTAAAAATAAATATGAAAAAAATATAAATACAATTTAAAAAATAAATATAATATTTTTCATTTAATATGAATAAAATTTTAGGACCATGCTACATATATTAATCCTTTACCAAGGAATTCTCACCATAATAAAGTCCTTCCTAAAATACAAAAGGTAAGTAAATAATTAATTGTGAAACTCTCCTAATAGGGTCGTGCGTTAGAAAATGATTCGTGCATAGCCATGAATGGTATGATATGATTTTCAAGAATAGATTATTTCCTTAACATATGGTGGTTGACAAAATTTACGAAAAATATTATTAAGAAACAATCCTAAATAGTACTAAATTTGAAAATTATGATCACGAGTATATTATTCATCACCTTACTTAAATTATGATAATACTAATATTATTTTGGAACCCTTTACTTATATATGGCAATCCTTAATTATGTATCTTGGATAATCAATAATATTATACTGGATTCGTTTATTTTTAGTAAGCAATTTGTTATATCTAGGATGGACCCAATATTATTTTGAATTCCTTACTTATATCTAACTGGCAATGAGTTAAATTGCTCAATTTTATATCCAAATTTATGGAAACTCTTATATACTTGGGTCAAAATCCTATTATAAAAAGAGATATATAATGTGTTGAAATGTGACATCCACCACCCATTTTCAATTTCCATTTCAATACATAGACATTCAGAATTAATTATGCAATAAAGAAGCAGAGAATCGTTAATTCAATTTCAGCCTTTTGTTTTTAAAAGGATTGGTAGTAGGAGCATCCTATTTTTCAATTTCAATTGGGGCTATGGAAAATCAAGTTGACGATACATGAACGAGATCAGCTAGAGATGTAAGAGAAAGGAGAAAAGGAATACTTCAACAAAAAAGGACATAGAAAAGGTACGTACTTTAAATATTGTTTTATCTTAATATATTTAATTTTGTTTTATTGTTTTAAGGTAATTTGATACATAACATTTTTGAATTTTTTAAAATAACAAAATCAAACGGGATATTTTAGTGACAAGAATTTTTGTATTTAAAATTTATATGGTTGCTTTTTAATGAGCATTGAAAATTTTCTTATTTTCATATCTAAATTGTTAGTATAGATAAATTAATTTATGTTAAATATATAAAGTTTTGAACAAAATTTAAAATTAGATGTCAATTATAGAAGGATTTAAAAAATTCTCCATGTGAAAATGAACACTTCAAGAAAAGATTACATAAAAATATGTGTACTTTTTTAATTATAGTCATGTTATTTTATCAATTCTAATCTGCATCCGTAAAAAAACTAAACGTCATTCATAGATTTCATAGAAATCATGGATAATTAAAATGTATAATTGTTGATTTATTTAGGTATGCATATAGCTCACGGAGTATTTTTTTATCAATTATTTACATCAATATGAATAAAATGATGTCTAACCATGACTCTTTAATTTCACTTTTCTATATTTTTAATGGAGAAAAAATAGTTTATATATATTGAACATTTTAAAAAATTGAATGGACGAATATTAACAAAGTTGAGTAATAATATATTCATATTTAAAAAAAATCAAAACTTTGCAATAAATTTGATATGAAATGGGTGAATATAAAATAATGTGAGTACATATTTTAAAATAAAATGATATGCATGCGAGGAAAAAAATTAGGCATTGATACGAAATGATCAATGTAAGTAATTCAAAGTTCAAATATAATTTTTAAAAAGGAAAATTTACTTATACCTAACATGTAATTCATTTATCAAAATGGCAACTAAGCTGTGTTCAACTGAAATAACTGATACTCCATATATATATTCATAGTCAGAGAAATTTACCTAAATAACACTAAAACATAATGACTTTCCCTAAATAGCAACATATGTTTTTTATTTCTCAATGTAGCACTTTTAGTCATTATCCATTAGTCATTATTTAGATAAATGTTCACCGTCATATATATTATTTCTCCTTCTAGACATTATTAAGTGTTATTTAAGGGATAAAAAGTTTAAGTCTTATATTGGAAAATGACTTATGTTTTAGTGCTATTTAGTGCAGATATGAAAAATGAAAAATTTGAAAAATTATATTGGGAAAAAGTTTGTAAAATGAAAAATGAAAAATTTGAAAAATGAAAAATGAAAAAATGAAAAATTTAAAAAAAGAAAAATGAAAAATTTGAAAAAGTTTAAGTCTTATATTGGGAAATGACTTATGTTTGAGAATATGAAAAATTATTCTTTTTTTGAGGATAGAGCACTATTGGCACCAACTCTCGAAGTAGTTGAAATGATAAATGAATTTGTTCTGTCTCTCATTCCTGGTGATGAAAAAGAGTACTTGAGTTCTGATTTTCGTGCCAAGCAGAAGCAGATGTAGGTGTTGATGGCGATTGGATAACAGTTGAGTTTTTGAACGAAATCAAATGTTTGGGAATTCCAAACCACAAAATAGTCTTAAAAAAAGGGGTACCGATTATGCTATTGAGGAACATTGACCAAACATCTGGATTGTGTAATGAGACAAGATTAATTGTTCAAGAGCTGCGAAATAATGTTATCGGTGTAATTGTGGTTTCGGGAAATCGAGTTGGGGAAAAAGTTTACATCACTAGAATGAATTTGGTACCATCTGATCCAGGGCTACCCTTGAAGTTCCAAAGAAGACAATTCCTGATCGCCTCATGTTATGCTATGACTATCAACAATAGTCAAGGTCAAACATTGTCATTTGTGAGATTATTTTTAACCAAGTCAGTGTTCACACATGGTCAACTATATTTTCCTGTTTCAGAAGTGAAGACAAAGACAAGATTAAAAATATTAGTTCTAGATGACAACAGAAACCCTTGCAATCATACCAAAAATGTTGTATACCTTGAAGTCTTTCAAAAAATTTGGTATTAAAATAAACATTGTTAACTCTACATTCTGTTCCTCAAATATTATTTATTTTACTTTGGCTTTTTTCATTTGTAGTATTAAAAATCATGTGAGCAATATATTTTCTTTATTTTGAAAAATAAATTTCATTGAAATAATTCAGAATCGACATAAATTTCTTTCGATCCCGTGCAATGCACAGGTCAGAATACTAGTCCTTTATATATAACTAGTATTTAACCCGTGCAACGCACGGGGTCGAACGCATGTTGTTTTTAACTCTGTTAAATTTTTTTTAGTAAATGATTAAAAAATATAGCTAAATATAATATACAATGTTAGAAGTTTAATGAATGATAAGACATAAACAGAGTATGCTAACTAAAATTCATGTATATAAATGATTAATTACATCCAAATTTTTTGGAAAACCTCAGGATAAACCACATTTTTGGTGCAATTGCAAGAGTTGCCGTTTTCATCTAAAACTAACATTTTAAATCTTTTTTAGTTTCCACTCGTGGAACTCCAACATAAAATTGACTGAGTATTTGTCCAGTTTTGATATTTTCAGATATTTCAGTCAATCATTTTCAACGATTTTCAACATTTGACCTATAACTAAGTGAAATATATATTGTATATTAATTAGATAAAATATTATTTTGAAAATATTTGATATAATAAATCTAATAAAACTATTTTTGTATCAATATCTAATATCATTTTTATTTAATTTGAGAACATACACCAGTATTTAACGGTAGTCTCAATCCAAAGTGCTCAAATAAGTGTTAACTATATTCCGAATCCAAAGTGCTGAAATAAATTTTAAGGGCAAACAAAGTATTGAATACAATAAGATAGATGAAATCCTTCAGTCTAAACTTTATATATTGATTGATGACAGTTACATCAGCCAGGGTAGGTTTGTTCAAGCCTCCATTTCCCTTGGCCTTTAAAATAAAATTACAGAGAAATTTAATAACCCACCTGAAAAACAAAGGGGAAGGTCAAAATTTTGTAGGGCAAACGAATAGATATTTTCTGAGCGAGACCCAATAATTTGACGAAATGCCAATAATAACATAGCTTGCAGTAGATACTTGGTTCATTGATACACATTAACAAATTATCATTTTCACGCACATAGGAGATGGCAAACACTATAAGAAATGATATTGAACCCCCCAAGAAATGAAAAAAGAAGTAAAAAGAGCCTATTAACAGCACTCCATATCATTGTTAGGGCTTTTAATAGTTTTTCATTGGCCAATTCATATTTTTATATTATTTTAATTATTAAAAATCAATAATTTTATCTCTATATTAATAGTATGGGTAAAGTCTACATACACATACTCTCCTCCCCAAGCCCTATAACTATTTCTTCCTGAAATCAACATAAAAATATTTGGACTCTTGACCCTCCAACTGTTTACACTTATCTTAGTTTTGAATATAGTGAATGCACCAGTGCACGAAAAAAAGCAAAGAATTGTCATTTAATCTAAGCACACTCTCTAGAACATGATTTTCAATGTGCGAGGCTAACATTAAAAAAGGGAATAACCAACTTTTAAGCAAGACATTATACTCTATAATTGAGAATCTAAGACTTCCATAGATTGAACGACTTTTTAGAGAAGAGGTAGTTACCTTATTTGATATTTGATCAGGAACCCTGAGGCTTCAAGAATTATGTTCCATCAATCTAATTTTAAGGTTCCAATGCTCTTTCAAAGTGGACAAACCAAAATTAATAGACTGAACAGAGTGGTAGAAAGTTATAACATTTCAGAGGGATTTTGAGCATTTTTCACCGTTCTTCTACATCGCCAAGCCTGGTTTTCACATTTTTCTGGTTTTTCGGCGAGGAAATCTGCGAAGAGCCGCGCGGTTCCGGTCAGGGCATCATATACTCCGTACATACAAATCAATTCAGAACGATAAGGATACGATTATAGATAGCTATATTCGCATATGAACTGAGATGGGGGCGACGGGATCGAAACTGGAGAAAGCTCTGGGAGATCAGTTTCCGGAGGGAGAGAGATTCTTCGGTCTTGAGAATTTTGGTAGTGCGTGAAAATCCAGCGAAGAAGTAAAAAACCTAGAAAAGACGCGTGTAAACATTACGTGTCAAAAAATTGAGCCTTAAAAAATGCCACATGTCAGTTTTCTAAGCCATCAACTCTCAAATATTATATTATATAAAGGATATTTGGGAGTTAAACTCCCAGAAATCCGACATGTGGCAGGCTACTTGGCAAATTTTTTTTACACATCATCAGCCACATTTGATGACTTAAGTGACTTGGCAATTTTAACTTAAAGTATGAAAACATCTTATTAGAGCAAATATTCATTCCCAATTATTGCACATATGAAAAACTTTTACGAGGTATATGTAAAGTAATTATAATTAGAAGGTTATAAATGTTAATTATAAAAAACTTTCAATTAATTGCTAATGACATTTATTGGCTAATCCTTCCTTTTATTATAAAATTTGAGACTCTGGCTTACATGATATTGGCATGTCACGAGCTAATATGACATTTTTAATAAATCATCTGTTGTCTATTTATTATTTTAATGAGTTGGTAATTTTAATCAACATACGGAGTACTGATTTGACATTATTTTACTTTATTTTTTATTGATTGATTATAGTGACTAAATTATTTGTCTTTTTAGTTTCATGCAGTTAATCTTAAGAATTAGTAACTCTATTGTTTTTAACACCC